TGTGTGTGTGTGTATGTGTTTGTGTGTGTGCGTACGTGTGCCCTTGCGTGCACGCGCGTGTGTGTCTGTGCGTGTGTGCGTGTGCGTGCGTGCGCACGCGCGCGCGTATAAACAATACTCAACATAATAATCTTTATCACAAACAATAATATTATTACATGTATAAAATGTGTGTAATATGTCGTAGCGTATCCACTTTCTAAAAGTGAAGCAAAGCTTGAAGAGTGGCCCTGTAGCGAGAGCTCATGTTGTAATAGATGACCAGGTTGATGCTGGAGTTGAGAGTATACAGGAAGTAGGCCAGCGCCCATGACGCTCGGTACAGGTAACCATGGCGACGCCCGTAATTAAACTCCGGCGCGAACTCACTGACGGCCGTGTAGATCTGACCTGGCGTGTAGCAGACCATGAGAACTACGGACACGATGACCACTACTTTGACCACCCGGCGGTCTCTTTTGGAGAAGTCATCAAGGGGAGAACGTGTTACTGTTGCAGCTGCTGATGCTGCTGATGCTGCTGATGCTGCTGATGCTGCTGATGCTGCTGATGTTGTTGTTGCTGTAGTTGCTGCTGCTGTGGCTGATGATGATGACGTTGTTGTTGCTCTTACTGCTGCTGCTGCTGCTGCTGATGACGTTGTTGTTGCTCTTGCTGCTATTGCTGCTGCTGCTGACGTTGACGATGATGATGACGTTGCTGACGTTGCTGATGCTGCTGCTGTTGTCGTTTTCCCCGCACCAGCAGCACGAACCCCAGCCTGGGAATGAAGACTCCGCCATTTTGTGTGCCGGTTAAGGCTGATGACAAGGCGACCGGTGAGGAGAAGCAGACACAGGAGAGCTGTCGTCTGCGCGGTACTGACTGTCGCGTTGGTCGCCTGGACCCGTGGCGGGTTCTCCCTGGTCAAGAACATGTTGACCACTGTCGTGTTGGTCTCGGGGTCACGAGTCCGGATCAGCTCCACCGTGGACAGAATGGGAGACACGCTTGCCAGGGAGAAGGTGCAGATGAGGGCCAAGATGGCGGCGGAGCGGCCGGGTGTTAGGATGTCCCTGACCTTGAAGGGGAGAGCTATGCACAGGCAGCGCTCGGCACAGATGAACACGGCGATACAGCAGCTGTTGAGGGCGAGCCCGTAGATGACCCAGATACCTGGAACAGAGTACAGTCGTAGCGTTAACGTATTACAAGGTGAGCAAAACCCCCCCCAAAAAATGTGTCATGACGTGGTGGAATCAGACGCTCGTCAATTTCTGGACATGTGGAGTTATTGGTATCTTTTTAAATTAAAGCTTGCTCATTTGTCTTGCTTTCGGTGAAAATAATACTCACATTTCATGAATGGAAGTCGAGATATTTGCCATTGAAGGAGGAAGGGGTCGCCTGGTTTCAGAGGTAAAATAAGCGAGAAAATAGCCTTCAAAGTCTGGAGACTTCCAAAGCTTGAGAGTAGGTTAAATTAACATTTTTCAGTAAAATCAACACAGAAAATATATATGTAGTTTCAAATGGAGTGCCAGGGTGTTGAGTAAAAAACAACAACAAACAACTGATATTTCACCTCGATGCCCCACAAATGTTTCACGACGCGGTAGTAGAATGTTATTTTGAGACTGAGATTTTACAACAAATTATTCATATTTTAATCAAAATATTGACCTAAACCAAGCCGTCTTTAAATGGACATAAAAAATGTTGGGCCAAAAAGAAAAAAAAATCGAATTTTTTGGTGGTCAAACTGGCTGAAAAATGCCGATATCTTCAACTTCATTATTTTGATGAGAGCCTGATTACACCTACGAATAAAATTCAAATTACTCAAATAATTTTTCGTACAGTTGGCCTATTTCAATCAGAATGTCCGTGTTTTAAAATCTAACCCAATGGACAGGGCGTGCTTCAAAGCTTAAAATAAATAGAACCAGACTGTTTGAAAGGATAGCTTTAAAGACGCACCAACATTTGACTTTATAAAAGATAGGACAACATAAAACATTGATGCAGAAAATGTTAACATTACTATTTTAAATATTCTCAAGAAAATGCCTTGACAGTTTAACATCAATTATTCAAGTTTGAGCAGAAATTCAAATAAAAGAGCTAATTAATTGTGCTCAGCACAATCTCTATTCAACCGTAAACATACATGAACTTGTTTATTGAAAAGCTCTGAATCACTCCCACGCACGAAGTGGACACACGCACGCATACCACGCACAAATAATATCTACTTGGTGGAGTAGAAGTTCCTTTTTGCGTGGCATGCAACAATGCAACACAATTTTTACCACTTTGTCATGTAAGTAAAATTTTGATTTTATTTACGAAGACTTTTATAAATGTTTGTCCATCCTTTTAGTATATAACAAAAGCCTAGGTCTGCAACAGTGAAACCCTTTTTTTGGCGCTTACATGACCAAATCTGAGTCGAGTCTAGGTAATGCATTTTCTCTCTCTCTCTCTCTCTCTCTCTCTCTC